GTCGTGGCACATGTATAGGTTATTTACTACAAAGGATTGATTATTGTTTTAATACCAGGGGACAATATAATATTTCCCGAGCGCCTGGAGGGGCAGAGGTAGATATCATATTGTCACGAGGAGTAAACCCACATTCAATCCCGATCAGTAAATACGCTTTTTATCCCATGATATCCGTTACTCTCTTTATGAAATCATTTGGTTCAAAATCCATATCTGATTTTGTATGAAACGCTCAGATTTCTATGACTTTAACTCTATTTGTATCAGAGAATGGGATGAAATAACATTTATTTTCGCTTGTATTTAATAGGCCTCTCAAGTTTCAAAATTTCGTTTTTTCAACTTTGCAAAAATAGGAATTTTTATTTGGCAAAAAATACTGCAGGGTGAATACCATTCTCGCGAGCGGGATTTGGAGGTGAATACGATTTTTCGTGAGCGGGATCGGGCGAGGCAGTACGATTTTCTTTCAATATAAAAAATATTCCAGGGTGTAATTTACCTCGAAGTAGTTGTTTCATGGGATGATATGAGTTATTCAATCATCCGAGTGAAATACAGAAAATATTTTGCCCGAGAAAGTTTGTATTTTATTAGGCGATAGTTGAGAGAAATAGACTTTCGAGGCAAAATATTTTATGTATTCCAAGGGAAATTATTGCATAACGTTTGTATTTCATGATCAAGGAAAAACTCAAAAATACCCTGATCGCTGGAACAAATTAGCTGGCACAATCGTAAAGATGTTATTGTTGGTGTTCTGATATTGGATTTTTGAAGTGCATCTTTGAATTTGTTAAATGTCAATACTCACATAATAAGTAACCGATCTCTTTCATATTTGTACCATTTGCTAGTGACCCTTAAATAGGCATATTTTGAAGAAAAGGGATGAATACTCTTTGAGATATGTTACTCACACACTCAATCAAATATGATACAAACCTCAATTTGGAATAATACCTAACCGAGAAAAATTACTAACATAGAAAACAGCATTTGAAGTTCAGAGATCCATAGTGATGCATGCACATGTTTCACAAAGTGTATGTTAGTATTATGTTTTAAATTACTCTTGAATTAAAAGATGGCGTATGGTTGAAAATTCTATCAAAAATGAATGGATTAAGTGATGCAATGAACTTCGCCATCTTTCATTGTCATAGCTAAAAACCTGCCATATAAACACTGTCTGATCAAAAATATTACTTAATAATTTATTAAAAACCCTGGTTTGGTCGGTTTGAACTGTTTTTGTGTCTTATGAAAGATCAAGTACTTATCAATCCATTTCAAATACTATGAAGATCAAAAGTAAGACTTCATTTTGCCCAAAATGCTGAAAATACACAATGTGTCCCTTTAATAGGCCACTGTCTTAAATATCTGTTTCGAAACCTCTACTGTGTCCCTGCTTTTGACTATTTTTCAGCCACATTTTTAAGATTTGATTTTATTTAAATTATTATTTTAGAGTTGAGAAGAAAGCAGCGGGATGAGAATGAGTTTTCCCTTTTGGTACCTATTTGCAATGGTTACTAGTATTATCTTGTTTTCGACTTTTTCAAAATTCTGGTAATTCTAAACATATCTTACCTTTAATGATCCATCATCATCCCTTCCATGGAGTAAAACATATTCTCTACACAGTCTGTATTTTGAAAACCTACCCCTTTGATCTCATACTATCTTATGCTTTTTTATCATGACTGTTTGCCTTAAATCAGTGGTTGATTAAGAAAATATTCAAAGAAAAAATAACGTTTGATTTCATTTATAGCACACCTCTTATTTCATCATATCAAATAATCTGTTAACTCCTGATAGTATACTCGAAGGGATTAGAAAGGAAATATGTGCGCCTCTGGGGTTAGTTTTAACAATATATTTCTGCTCTCTTCATTACGTCAATTTACCGTCACACTTTTTTAAAATGTTCAATATTTCTAACTCCCTTTTATCACAATTCTTTAATTCAACGCTAATCTTCTGACAATAAATGATTCTACCTCGGACTTTTCTGCATTTGAAGTATTCAATATCTTCATCAATATTTAAATGGTATCTCATTAAAAAAATAAAATAAAGTTGTAAAAGGCACATTGATATTTTCCTTATATTATAATTTGAATGACGTAGATGTGCACTAATAAAACAATACCCTTTATTATAGAGTATTAGCAATGCATGTATGAGTCTTCAGCTTTAGGCAATTCACAATAGTTTATCTAATCACTGTCAAACTCTAGAAGATCTATCTAAGGCTAGTTTACACGGTCTGTAAAATCGTACATGGTAAATGTTGAAAAATCAAATACAAAATGATAGATATCATGACAAAATACTGAAAATATCATGTTGAGATTCTTTATATTATGATGAATCTGAAAATGATATAGGATAAGAATCAGTCGCCTTTTTTATGTCAGTTTTTCACAACCAACCCTATATTCTATGAAAAGCAACATTATAATAATGCATGACTTCTGCAACACTTTACTTTACAAATTCAGAGCCAACTACTGAAAGATCTTCTTCGAAGACGAATGCGGATTGTCGGCTAACTGTTTCAAAAATTAAATTGATCAAATATTCAAAAACGTTAGTTTCGGGGGTCCATATTAACATAAAGATCAAAATTAAATAAATATTTATAGAACAAAAATCGTTTGGTTTCCGTCGGAAATTATGAAAGATTATTATTATTAAGATTAAAACATTGAATATCATATTCATTGTCATTCGTTTGCTAGGGATAATGTCTATCGACGAGGCATAACAGTAATGTATATGAAACTTGCTTTTTGAAACAAATGAAACAAATGTTTTGCATCATGTCTAATTTATATGGCCTGTGATTATACGATTAACATTTTTGTCGGAAACACTTTACAAGCCAAATATCTTAAACCGAAATGTATTACAAAATTTTTTTAGCCAGTTATTTAGCAATTAATCTTTTGATTAATGTGATTGAATTATGATCAATTTGTTGCGAAGCTTTCCAACACCTCTAATTTAGAACATGGTATCTATCATGATGCCATTGAGGGGTTAAACATAGTTAAAGTCGATCTTTCCGTAGTAATAATGAAGCAAAAACTAGTTACAACTATCATATGATCAAAACGATGCAGTCTTTGTGAGGAAATTGTCCAATATCTTCGTAACACACCTGTCAAAACATAAGAGATTACCATTAACCTACATAAGGGTGTTTGGTTTACAAGACAAAAAATGATATTTTGAATTATTATGCACCTCATCTAAATACTGCAATATGATTGGTCCCAAGCTGCTTGTAATTTGGCAATACTCGGCTCTTTTTTAACTTTTTTTAAAGCTAACCGGAGGCAAATAGAAGAGAAAACAGTGTACTTAATCACATTTACACTTATCATTCAAACATTACGCATAATTCTGTAAAAACGCCTCAAATAAATGTAAATTGAATCCCGGGACAATACAATGCTTTTTCGTTCGATGTATAGGTAGACAAAAGTCGTTCGAATTTGAAGAAAACACACTCAAAAGATTGATTTAGAAGGTGCATAATAAAACAAATACTGGATGATCAGGACCTGGATTTAGCAGAATACATATTCGAGAAAATTCGAGTATTTGTTTAATATTCGACTATTTATAATCGTTCATCTTTTATAACGCTGAGATAAAAACGAAACAATGTTTTGCTCGATTCTGAGACGTTTGAGGTCTCATAGTTCTTAGCAGGAAATGCATAAACAGCACGTGACAAAAAACATTCTTGCTATTTTCAACTTTTTCAATTAAAGGTAACAAAGTTTCGTTTTGATCTCCAGTCATTTTAACTTGTTCCACATACATGTATCATTTACATGACCAGGATCACAATGTACATGGTCAGAATGATCTTAAACATGATGAAATAGTCCTCTGAAAATGTTACTGAAAAGTTGTTAAAAGTTCGGCCTTCAGAAAGGTCACAGAACATTTGAATTTTTCAGAAAATGTGCCCAATATAGATTTGTATAGTTTTACAACACCTGTATCATGAAAAAATATTAATATGAGTATAATTAGATTATTGGCAAAATAAGCTTTTATTTTATTATGTTGTTCTCCTATTTGATTCACAAGAACCAAGAAACTACAAATAGTTGAGCGTTCATAATTCAAACATGTTTTACCTAGAATCATTGTCAAAATAAAACTGTTATCAAAACATTCTGACGCTCTACTTTTCATGAGATCAGATGACCATATATGTATGAAATCAAAGAATAGGCAATTGCATAACAAAATGTCACCAACTGATTGAGATGAAACTGGTACAAAAGTGTAACCTGTGTTACAAATGCCAAATGTGGATAATGATGATGTTGCTGGAATTATCTTAATATTGAAAATATTGAATAATCAACTAAATAAGGATTTTAATATGTCTATTTAGTAGCGAGTTTATAATGATCATTCGCTCCTTTCACTGAACCAAAAAGCAAAATCCTGCAAAAATATCATTTATACCATACACATATATTTCATATTCAAATCAACATTTTCGATAGAAAAATATTTACATTTAAGTTAAGGAAATTGCTTTCATTTAAACTAGGGATAGTCTAAATATTTTTGCATTTTCAAAACACCCCGATCGAAATTGTAATGTTAAGCAGATCAAACAGGCTAAACATCAGGTCATGAAGACAAAATGACAAATGAGTCCTCTATCCCACAATAGCACTATGTGGTATGTCATTCTCATGCTGCAATCAGAGCATCCTTCCTATAGCAGGGCCAACTGCCAATGAGACGTCTGACTTTATATGCAAAATAAGGCCCCACTCCTCAATCAGGAGAGCATGCGTGAGTGCTACCTGAGGTGAAGGACCCCTGTCACGAACCGCCCTATCAGTCTCATCTCACTTGTGCTCTATAAGAGCCTGATTAGGTGACTGTTGCACATTGCAGCTGCTCCACCTTACTGCTTTGAGGAAACCGTGCACTATGCAGTTATCATGCGCATGAGCATGATTATGCTGCAGGTGAGAGTTAACCCAAACACACTTTTGAATACGATGATAAATGTTGGTCCAGAAAGCCCGGCCAGAAAGTCACTGTACCTCTAACCACTGAAATCACGTTTGAGACTCACCAATTGCAAAGGGGTGCGACCCCCCCCCCCCTTGGTGAATATCGCACCAAATATGAACAAAACCACTTCCTTGGGCTACTTTTGATAACTAATAAGTTTTATGTGCAAAATGGGCGGAAATCGGGAGACATAAAAACATTAAAATCTATAAAATATTCCATATTAATGAGCAACGGTGTACTTAAAGGGATTAGAAAATAAAAAAAGATTGGAGCGTGTTTCAACAATAATTGTTTGCTCTCATCAATACATATCATACAGTGTCATACCCTTTTCAAAACGTACAATATTTCTACCTCTCTATCATCGCAATTTTAATTCAGTGCAATGTTATCTTCTGACAATAAATGGTTCTAACTCGTGTTACGCGGTATATGGCATACATTCATGGTTGCGCGGTATTTGTGATACGGGTGAATATGCCATACTCACCTGCGGTATATGGCATATTCCGCAGGCGAGTATGCGATATTCCACAGTGAATATGCGATACATTGATTTCAGTTAATACCCGATACTCACCTGCGGAATATGCCATATACCGCAGGTGAATATGACATATACCACAGGTGAAAACGTGATACAGAAAGCCTTGATTTGATTGGTTGCGAGAATCGACTCTAAATGTAAAACTACGCAGGATTACCAATATAGTTAGTGCTTCGAGTACTAATATATAAATCCTGGTTTGATTGAGAAAGTTTATTACGCGAGATTGGTGACTGATACTTCTGCAAAGTTAATATATTCGATACACAGTACTGTTGATTCAGTAATCATTATGATAATTTATCACGTTTTACTTGTTCGTTCAATCGATGTAATTGACAATTGCGTACTTCCGTATCGCGTTCTCATTGGTTAGTGTGTATGCCATATATCGTAGGTGAATCTGTTATACATCGCAAGTGAATATGCCATATTCGTTGCGGAATATGACATATTTTTGTATCGTGTTTACCGCGTAACAACTCGGACATTTCTGCAATTGAAGTATTCAATTCTTTATGAAAAGTTATATATGAGCAATGAATTGATGAGTCTTCAGCTTTTGGCAATAAACAATATATTTCATCATATGAGTGTCAAACTTGCAAGTGTACAGTGTGAGCAGTCAAAACCGGATCACATGTAAAGAAAGATCAAGGCGATATTCACTGGCTATGCGTATAGGGCGATATAGGACGATATTCACCTCTCTCGAAATTTTTCGAAATACATTGTTTTTAGGTTTTAACATAGTATAAAAATGTATTTATCAGTGAGTAAACTCATGAACTAATACTTTTGAGGATATTGAACTTGACAATTGTATAATAAAACAAATGTTTACAAGTAATTTGCCTATTTTCGAGGAATGTATGTGACACTCACAGCATGATTATGATGCCTTAAGTCGGGAAATATCATATCGTGGAAAATACACTTTAAACATTTGCTAATGACTCTTTTGACGTTTTTTTTGTTACACTATTCTCTTGAAAAATATGAACAATTTGCCGTTCAGTTTCGATGATAATTGCTCTTTATCCCCATCTGCTCGCCTTTACACCACCATTGGAGATAGAAAATGTTTTCTAACTTTTGAAGCAAAAATGAATACAGTGACAGCTACATTTTTGCTTGAAAATGTAACATCATCGGTACTTTTCATACTTTCTTTACTTCATTTGTACACTAGTATTAAACTGTATACTATTTAGGATGCTTAGTCCAGACTAGGATTCATGTCATTGAATTAGGCCATAAGAAGTATATTCTTTGTTTTGCGTCCTGGCAAAACTCAATTCATGCAAGGGTACAAGGGAAACAAACACAAACTCAAGAAAAAACACAACTTGTTTGCTGAGAAATGTATACATTTTATGGGCATAAAAAGGGACATACCAATTTGCAGTAATTACAAACACATATCTAATAAATTTAAACACAACTATTATTCAAGGGTAAAAAATAAGAAAATGCACAATGTATGCCAAAGTAATCAATAACACTGTCAATTTTGACGCACATCAATTATCCGCCATTTCGTCTGATTCTGATTGAACGAAATGCGATGGCACTTTCAGACCCTTATGATTGCTATTTGGATGTGTTTGTTTTTTCTGATTTACTCAAAATCGTGCAAGCAAGGGGACGCAAAACAAAGAATCTACTTCTTATGGCCTTATTAAACAATACTACACGAGTAGTTTTCAAAAACTGGACCATTACTAGACTAGCCGTTGTATTTTGTAAACATTTTCTAATTAACTTGTTCTCTATAATATATTTCTAAAATGTTTTGATATGTGATTATTTGCACTCCCATAAAGTATTTTTGGGAACGAAATATGCAACAAACAATAAATTTGAAATACTGAGCCCAGGGTAACATCTGGTCAAATAAATAAATGCAGTTAGTAGGGTTCACAAGATGCCATATCTTAATTTCTTGTTTTGTGTAAAAGAATGCCAGCAAAATGCAGACTTTTGTTTGTGTTGTTGGGTTTTAATATTGACTTCGATTAGTTCGAAGTAGCCCAAATGCACACATTTGTTTTCTCAATGATGTTTTTAAGTGCTGTATATTTTGGGGTATCCTTTAATCAATTGTTTGAAAACCCTCCTAATGAAGAGTTGTTTAATTGGTGCAATATCATTTTTAGATGCGATTTGGTAATGTCAGGTAAGTCAAGTGATGTTTTAAAAAAATCAATTTCAATTGTATAACCACCGTGATAACACTCCTCCCAACAATTTTTACGATGCAATTTTGCAATCTGAGCACTTCTGAGTTAAAGAGAGCATCAAAAATAAAGGAGACAACCTTACCAAGGGTTTACAATCAAAATAAAATGTATGCTGTATTCATATGTTTACATGCATTAAGGTGTTCACTTTAGATCAACTACGGGCGATCAGAAATGTACAAAGACGTGCAGAGCTACTCAGCAACCCTGAATACTTAGAGGCCTACCAGAAGGCGAGGGAGGAAGGAACACGGGAGGTCTACCATACTCGAGTTATGATCGTTGGGCAATACGGAGTGGGGAAAACTAGTCTGAAAAAGCGTCTCCTGGATGAAGGTTTTAGTAGGGAACACAATTCGACAGATGGCATACAGGTTGACCCATCAGCTTGTTATATTGACATCAGCAATTCATTCTTATGGAAAACTAAAGCACAGGGTGAGTCAACTACACCTTCATATTTTTGTATATATTACTTCCTCGATAATCTTTTGATTACAAACAAACGATTTAATGAATTTGGATATTTCTGCATCTTAAAAGTTTAACACCTACTATCAAATTTGATACACTGTCTCAATTAGGAGTTTTGGGACTGTCATGCTTTTCAAAGATTTCCATCATTTACACTGTCTAACACATTCATAGTTCTTTTAACGACTTATATATTTTATTCTAAAATTTATATTTTATTCTTAAATTATCAATTAAAGGAACAAATGCATTTATTTTTTTACTAGTCACATTAACTATACCACTGTATCACAATAAGTAATTAATGTAAATGTTCATTTTTGAAAATAGAATTGATACGAGTAAGTTGATCACGACTTACAAGTACTATTCACATCCTATTTTAAAGCGTTTACGGATCCTTACATCGCCGTATTCTTTTTATTTAATCAGCTGTAATTCTCCAATTTTTAGCGCAATACACAATCCGATTTAAACGCCCTTGGTGTACAAAACCATTTTTCACAACTAACTAAGTTTCAATTATTCAAATTAAATTAAAAATTTTCAGGGTTCACATTGAAGGAAGATACTGATGACCCCCAGGATGTATACGACAGTGAAGTTGCCAAGAAATTGCATGCTATCAAAGACAGAATATCTGGTATGTATGGGCACAACCGCAATTAGATTCATCAAAAAGTTATAAAAATCAAGACGATGGTCCTGTTTAACAACCCCTGGAAATTGATGCTACCAATACTCTCTCGGCTATATGAATTTTGGGACTGTCATGCTTTTCAAAGATTTCCATCATTTACACTGTCTAACACATTCATAGTTCTTTTAACGACTTATATATTTTATTCTAAAATTTATATTTTATTCTTAAATTATCAATTAAAGGAACAAATGCATTTATTTTTTTACTAGTCACATTAACTATACCACTGTATCACAATAAGTAATTAATGTAAATGTTCATTTTTGAAAATAGAATTGATACGAGTAAGTTGATCACGACTTACATGTACTATTCACATCCTATTTTAAAGCGTTTACGGATCCTTACATAGCCGTATTCTTTTTATTTAATCAGCTGTAATTCTCCAATTTTTAGCGCAATACACAATCCGATTTAAACGCCCTTGGTGTACAAAACCATTTTTCACAACTAACTAAGTTTCAATTATTCAAATTAAATTAAAAATTTTCAGGGTTCACATTGAAGGAAGATACTGATGACCCCCAGGATGTATACGACAGTGAAGTTGCCAAGAAATTGCATGCTATCAAAGACAGAATATCTGGTATGTATGGGCACAACCGCAATTAGATTCATCAAAAAGTTATAAAAATCAAGACGATGGTCCTGTTTAACAACCCCTGGAAATTGATGCTACCAATACTCTCTCGGCTATATGAATCTACTTGTTTAGACCCGATAAACTTGAGTTCTTTGAGAAAATGAGGATTTTAGCATGGGTGTATTGACTTTACATTGGGATAATTGGCTTTAAACCTGCATACCTACAATGATGATATCTTTCAATAGTAAGAATAGGGGTTCCTAAACTAAGGCATTTTGAAAATGTTGGTTAACTCTGAATACAAACCGTCTCAATTCAGTGTCAATTAGTATTACTTAGGGACCCAGCCTGAATATTTTTGTTTTTGAATATTGGAGAGTATTACGCGAGATTTTTTCATTTTCTTGTTGGAAAATATATTTATTTTATGATGTGGGGTGATATCTAGAGTTTGAGGCTTGCGAAAATAAGATATCCTCATCTTTATACTCCCCACCCTATAATTTCAGGGGGGTCAGGAGAAAATAAACGTTAATTCATTACTTTGGAAGTAAATGAGATACAAACTTAATTTTTTCACCATAATTTATAGAATAACATCAGAAATGCAGAAAAAATATATCAAACGAAAATAAGCTAATTTGCATAATTTAACCCTTAAACCGCCATAAAAACTTTTAAATAACGGAATGATAATAAACAACTTTTACTGTAATTGCCTTCATATGAAGTTATAACTTATGAAATAATTCCTAAAAATGCATCTATATATGTATATTAGATGTGCAAAATATTAAAAGTGTATCTTACATAACGACTGTGAAAAATATTTCTCCCCTTACCCTAAAATTGAAGGGAGGGGGTCAAAAGAAAATAAACTTTAATTCATAACTTTGGAAGTATATAAGATGCAAACTTAATTTTTTCACAAAAATTTACAAAATAATATCAGTAATGGAGAAAAAAATATTTTGAACAAAAATAAGCTAATTTGCATAATTTAACCCTTAAACCGCCATAAAAACTATTAAATGACAAAATGATAATATACGACATTTACTGTAATTACCTTCATATGAAGTTATAACTGTTGAAATAATTCCTAAAAATGCATCTATTTATTTTTAATAGATGTGAAAAATATTAAAAGTGCATCTTATATATAGATTGTGAAAAAATTTCTCCCCCTACCCAGATATTTCAGGGGGGTCAACTGAAAATGGAGTTTAATTTATAACTTTGGAAGTATATGAGGTATAAACCTATTTGTTCAACAAAATTTATGTAATAACATCAGTAACTAAGAAAAAACATTTTTGATATGCAAATAAGCTAATTTGCATAATTTAACCCTTATACAGTCATAAAAACCGTTAAATGACAAAACGATAAAATACGACATTTATTTTAATCGACCTCTCATGAAGTTATAACTTATGAAATAATTCATATAGTTGCATTTATATATGTATAACAGATGTGCAAAATATTTAAAGTGTATCTTACATAACGGCTGTAAAAAAAATTCTCCCCCTACCCAGATATTTGAGGGGGGGGGGGGGTCAAAATGAAAATGGACTTTAATTTATTACTTTGGAAGTATATGAGGTACAAACTTAATTTTTTACCAATATTTATGTTATATCATCAGTAATTCAGAAAAAATATTTTTTGATATGCAAATAAGCTAATTTGCATAATTTAACCCTTATAAAGTAATAAAAACCGTTAAATGACGAAGTGATAAAATATGGCATTTACTTTAATTGACTTCTTATGAAGTTATAACTTCGAGAAAAAATTTATAACAGATATGCACAATATAAAGAGGTTATTTTATATAACGAGTGTGAAAAGAATCTTACACCCTACCTTAATAATTTTGAGGGCTCGGGGGGGGGGGGTTAAAGAAAATAATAGACTTTAACTCATAACTTTGAAATAATTTAAGAAAGAGCTTATATTTCTTCGCTGAAAATTGAGAAATCACATCAATAATGAAACGAATATTACATGGGGACAATACTATATGTCAACTAATTTGCATAATTTAAGCTTCAAACAGTCATGAGAAAGTGGTTCTATACTGAAATTGACTTCACATGAAGTAAGGACTTTGACAATATATCCTTTCTTAATACTAGCATTTAAATGGAAAAATGATATCAACAATTATGAAGCTATTTTTCCCAACTATTTCAATGCCCATGGAGATTTTCATAGATATAATGCTAGAGGCAAATCAAACTCAACCCTTCCTAAAGCAAAATTGAAAATTATGGCAAAAAACAATAGCCTTTAGTGGTTACTCCATATGGAACAATCTCCCAGAAGAAATAAAAAAGTCAAATTCCATTTCTTTTCTTAAATCAAAACTGAAGAAGCATATTCTCTTAGCTTATTAATCATTAGTTGACTATATCATTTCTTGTTTCTTCAGTAAGAAGGGAAGGCTCTCAAGGGAGTACATGGGCCAACCTGGGGGCTGCTCCAAACTACTTAAGATCTAAAATAATAATTCTGACCATACCAACCTTGGGGAAGGTAAAATAATAACTAATATTTTATAAGAATCACACTTTTAACGATTATTTGCGTCAATGCGGTAGCCTGGTATCTTTAAATAATAATTATGAAGCTACACATTCATAAAATTTCCCCATGGCATATGGCACCTTCTTGGCTTCAAATGAAACGAGCATCATGGATCCCCCATACCTTTATTTATTATAATCTAACTTTTGTGATTACATTCCGGTTTGATTCTTTGACAACATAATGATATACTTCATGATTTAACTACTATATGTACGGGTATTTAAGAATCACCTGTGGTGCCACCTATTGTCAATAATATGTGTACACATAATGATTAAATGTATGAATAAATTGAGTTTAATTGAACTTGCAATGTTTCAGAATAACCCTTAAAAAGGTAACCATAACAATTCTAAAGTTTATTGAACCATATTCAGAGTCACTGTGGGGACTGGTGTCATATTCTAGGTTGTAGGTACCTGATGCAGTGAAAATGTCATCATATATGTTTGGGTTAATCCACTTATTCCCGTCCACCCTCACTTTCCTTTGAGCCGCATGAACATGCAGCAAAACATTCTGTACCTGCAGTGGCACATGAGCAAGTGGTTTAACATATTGCTTTGTCCTTGTATCGTTTGCATGGGCAAAATGACTTTGGGATTTTTGTTATATCAAGTTTCGGTTTTTTTGGTCATTTTAATGGTCTCAAGAGTAATATGAACCACTTGACATCCAAATTCATTCCCTGGCTCTGGAATCTCAAAAAGTGGTTTGTCAGCATTCATTGAAATGTATAATTGTTATAAACCAAAAATGCATCCATAGTTAGTGGTAATGCTCTAATATCATTTTGGATGCTGCAAACAAGTGTAATACATCCAATGATAGTTTGTTTTTATATTGAAATAATAACGCAACTCCCATAGACCAGAGATCGTGCCTATGTGGACAGTCTATGGAGACAGAAACTCACTTTAAAGTAGAATGTCATATGTTTGAAAATGAACGATTAAGTCTGTTTGCCTAAATGACTGTGTTAGACTTTAATTAATAAATTTACTACTACTACTAGTATAATATTGTTTCCATGTAATATTTGTTTCATTCTTGATGTGATTTCTCAATATTCTGGCGAAGAAATACATGTATAAGCTCTTTCTTATACGATTTAAAAGTTATGAATCAAAGTTTATTATTTTCTTTTAACTTCCCCCAACCCTAAAATATTAGGGTAGGGTGTGAGATTTTTTCACACTCATTATATACAATACCCTTTTTATATTGTGCATACCCGTTGTAAATGTATTTCTAGGAATTATTTCACAAGTTATAACTTCATAGAAGTCAATTGAAGTAAATTTCGTATTTCATCACTTTGTCATTTAACGTTTTTTATGACTGTATAAGGGTCAATTATGCAAATTAGCTTATTTTCATATCAAGATATTTCTTCCGAATTACTGAAGTTATAACATAAATTTTGGTGAAAGAATTAAGTTTGTACCTCATATACTTCCAAAGTTATGAATTAAAGTCCATTTCCATTTGACCCCCCTCAAATATCTGGGTAGGGGGACAATTTTTTCAGCGTCGTTATGTAAGATACACTTTTAATATTTTGCACATCTGTTATACATATATAGATGCATTTTTAGGAATTACTTTATTTGTTAAAACTTCATGAGAGGTCAATTAGAGTAAATGTCGTATTTTATCGCATCGTCATTTAACACTTTTAATGACTGTATAAGGGTTAAATTATGCAAATTAGCTTATTTGCGTATCAAAAATATTTTTTCTGAATTACTGATGTTATTACATAAACTTTGGTGAAAAAATTAAGTTTGTTCCTCATATACTTTTAAAATTATGAATTAAAGTCCATTTTTATTTGACCCCCTCCCCTCAAAAATCTGGATAGGGGGAGAATTTTTTTCACAGTCTTTATGTAAGATACACTTCTAATATTATGCACAATCATTATACATATATAGATGCATTTTTAGGAATTATTTCATAAGTTATAACTTCATATGAAGGCAATAACAGTAAATGTGATATAACATCATTTCGTCATTTACTAGTTTTTATGGCAGTTTAAGGGTTAAATTATGCAAATTAGCTTTTTTTCATTCAAAATATTTTTTCTTCATTACTGATGTTATTTCATAAATGTTGGTGAAAAAATTAAGTTTGTATCTCATATACTTCCAAAGTTATGAATTAAAGTCTATTTTCTTCTGACCCCCCTAAAATTATAGGGCGGGGGGTATAAAGATGAAGATATCTTATTTTCGCAAGTCTCAAACTCTAGATATCACCCCACATCATAAAAGTAACTTATTTTCCAACAAGAACTGAAAAAATCTCGCGTAATACTCTCCAATATCCATTTTCACTTTCTAGCTGTTTCTCAGAACTTGGGTCCCTGAGTATATAACATAACTTTTAGAGTTAATGTGTACATAACATCAGGTGAATACTTCTTGTTGCATATTTTGTTATATTTTAGGGGAACGTGTTAGAGATAGCAGTGCAGGTGCTACTTGTACTATTCCTCCAGATCGCATACCAGATACAATAAAAAGCAAGTTCTTAAGTTTAGAAGATGGTAAAAATCGGGTGAGTTCGAATGACCTCATGAATCAAGCTTAATTTCAATTACTTTTTGTAACTTAATTATTGAAAAATAATCATTGCTTGAATGTAAACCTCACTTGCTTCCACTTCGTTAACTGTAATGTACGATGGCCATTTTCATTCCTATTATTTCTATACTTTCACATCCCAGGAGGAAAATCAGCTGAAATTATCCTTTTGGGACTTTGGTGGACAGCACGTCTTCTACACAACGCACCAAACGTTCTTAACGGACAGAGCCATCTATCTGTTGGTTGTAGACCTAACTAAGGACCTGGATGACAAAGTTGATACAATTAGACAATCACGCCGTGGACCAAAACGTGATACTGCCGCCCCGGAGAAGGTCAAAGGTAGGTACATGCATATAATACTGATTAAATTAACTGATCGTTCAGTGAATATGAATGTCATAACTCATATTGAGTTATGACATGTTCTATGATATGTTATGTGCAGCAGTTGAATGTCCCTTTTAAATTTCAGTCATGTATTGCACATTGACCAATCAGAGAGTGAGGAAGATGACAGTGATATGATAATGAAAAATATCAGTACCTAACGGTATTGATATGTTAACGTTTACCTTTTCTTGTCGCTATTCGTACAATATGAAATGCAATTTCTATATTGTTGATGGATAATCACTACGTACACTTCAGCTGTTTTAGGCAATTGTTATTATGCATAGGAATCATTTTCTCGAGTGTTTCGTCAACTAGTCGTTATAAGCACTTGAAAAGTACACAAATGCACCTTAATAAAAAGGTTTTTAAACACGCACCCCATTTAAATAAATACTGTTAGCGATATATAGATAGCGATAAACTCCAGTACTATTTTAGATGATTATGGACGATATTCTTTCTTCTGAGTTTCCACATCCCCTCATTTTACTTTTTAAGACTACCTTGATTACTGGTTGAATTCAATCCACACTCATGCTGGGAAGTCATCTCCTGAAACCCAATCACTGAGCCCCCCTGTCATCATAGTCGGGACACATAAAGATGCTCATAATGTGGTAAGGCCCCACAAAATGTTTGAAGGTAGTATAAGAAACATATAGCTTATTCATTTCTTTTGTGTTACACTTCTCTTTTTTATATCTAGTACTCAAAAAGTTTGTGTTAGTTCCTCTAAATGTATGTATGAAAATATTATGGATCTTTTGGGAGATATTTTTTAGAGATTTTTTTCATTATACATTATTTTCAAAAATCTCTTCAATCGCCCGAATGCATAATAGAAGAGTAGAGTACAAAAGAAACAAGAGTATTGGAAAGAATGATATTGGTAGATCAAGTGTAAATGTTGCTATCAAATTTGTCACCCCTTGTTACTCTAACTCTAGCTTTAAACCACTTTGGTTTATGTTCTAGTCTTGGTCCCGACGTTTTCTAAATATGCTACGACTTAAGAAAACCAGACAGGTATGTAAACTGGTAGTAAAATTCTTGAATACTGGAAGATTTACTCCATATATCATACTGAGTGTAGAACAATCATAATCTTTTGCTGTTATAACGTTCAAAATTCCAATAATCCAAACTATAACAACTTTTTCATAAAAAAAGTATAGTTTCTCACATTTAAAAGCCGTGTCAGATACTATTTAAATGTATTTCAATTTAATTTGCAGGAACCATTTATAGTTGTAAATCCATGTGCGAACAAAACGAAGATAATATTTTGGGGTAATGGAAACTCAACGCGCTGTGAAATTCAATATGACCGTAAAATTGCGACACTATCATCTGTAGTTTAAATTTCATTTCAGACTGACAAGTATATAAACGACTATTTTCACAAGATAGAAACTTACCTCCATGGCAAAGTATACTTTCATCATGTTCACACACGATACATTGCAGTTGATAACAAATCCGATGACGACCATGAGTTGGACGAACTAAAGAAGACAATCGTTCAACTAGCAGAAGCTCAAGGATTCTGGGGGCAGGAGGTACCTATTAAATGGTTGCTTCTTGAGAAAAATCTTCGTGGATTAAAAGTTCGAGAGCCAGTGCGCTTTCTTAAGTTTGAACAAGTTAAAGCGATTGGTTTGAAAGAAGGAATAGACGAAGCATCTGTCACAGCTTGCCTTGAATTCTATCACTCAGTCGGAGACATGATTTTCTTCAATGAAAACAACCTCTGTGATCTAGTGATTCTTGATCCTCAGTGGCTCATCGATGTTTTCAAGAGTATAATAACAGTGCCAGAGTTCCACAGAGTCCCGAGTGGACGGAACAAATTTGATAGCACTGTCTGGGAGAGGCTGGATAAAGACGGTGTACTTCACGAAGAATTTATTCTAACTGTCTGGAAGGAGCTATACCCTGATATATCGATTCATAGCGACATAATGATAGAACTTATGCAACGTTTTGACTTGATCGGTTCATTTGGAAATAACCAGGAAATTACTCAGGGGAAACGACAGTTCTTTGTTCCTTGTCTACTTCCCAAACCAGAGCCAAGTGATTTCATTAAAGACCAACAACTAGTTGGTGGCACGCTTTTCTACAAATTCACCTTTTTCCCCAGAGGGCTATTTCACAGGGTAGTCGCCAAAATCTGCCTAAAGAATATATGGCCTTTATATGGCAATGCGTTCTTTGATTACGCTAGGTTTGAAGTTGGTGATGGCTGTTGTGTATTAACACTTTTAGCTGAAGACAATCACCTAGAGATGAAAATCCACCAAACATTGGAAGAAAGAACGGATCAGGAGAACAACGCTATGTGTATCAAAATCCGCGAGGACATCGAGGCAATGCTGATGACAACCATAAAGAACTATTGTCCAAATGTCGATCCTGAGATATCTGTAAGGTGCATATGTCCGAATGTGGAAGAGGAAAGGCGAACTTTAGTGCCTATTTCAGAAAAGGATATTAATCGTGGTCAAAAACAATGTAAATCCCACCACCATTCAATAAAACTGGATCAATATAAGCTATGGTACAACACTGCACACATGGTAGGCATATTTTTGTATATTAGGGAGGTTAAGATTAGTGTAAAAATATACATATACCTATCCCTAACCGTATGTTTGGTACGGATACGTATAGGTAATGCGCTTTGTAAAATGAGTTTAAGATTAACGTAAAGGGCTACAAAATAGTATTCAACAATTTATGATAAAAATGACATGCTAATTTTAGGATAAAACCCTTGCGGTGGCGAGTATGGCGTTTGTTTGCCAGTATATGTCACCACCAAGAGCTGTTTTACATTTCAGAGACGGGGCGTAGTGTAGCTACTGTAATGGCGGGGGTATTGCTAATGGGGCATTGACTTAAGGCGAAGTGTTAAATTTCTAGCATGACCCAGCAATGAGAATGACAAAATAGAACAATTAAACAAATAAAACAAAATGAAAAAATTCATACATTTAGAGTAAGCAAAACAAAAATTGGTGAAGAATGTGTAAATTCATCAATTTTATGCATCAGCACATGGCATTGTTTATCGCATCAATGGTTGTGTTCGACCACTCCATTTCTATGCAGATCGAATAATAAATGTCTGTTGTCACTAATTTAAAGTTTAATGAATGATATTTGATCTACAAGTCACATATTTTTTTGGATAAAAACATACGCTTTTGAATTACCTATCTTCGGCCATTTATAGGTAAATATACGTATCGCAAACCCTGTAACCCTACTATCACACCAAACTAGTTCTCACTACGTTCTCGAAAACGGGCTTCAACTGTGTATGAACGGACTGGACGTACTAAAAACCGTTTGGGGTCTATTTATAAACTTCATCGAACGTACTCGAACGGGTAGGTCCTCTAGAACTTAGAACATGCTCAAAATTTTCTCGTGGTCGATACGTTCTACAATTAGAACGAGTGACAATGTACTAACAACGAGCTGGACGTACTAGGAACGGAACCGTCGTACTTCAATCCTACTAGGGACGTTTTAACAACGAATTGAACTGTCTGAGGACGTATTGAGAACGAGGTTGAACCAATTGCAAACGTGTTTAAACTAATTAAGAACGTATTTAAGACTGCTTATGAACGAATTAGCAAAAATATAGCAATCACACCAAACAAGTTGCCACTCCGTGCTTCAAAACTGGTTTTAAACTATGTGCGAACGGAATGAACGTAGCTGCAACTTTCTAAGGTCTATGTACGAACTTCATGGACTTTCCCGGACGGGGAATGTGATTTAGAATTTTGAATCAATTCAAACTTCGATGGCGACCATACCGTTCTGTAATCAGGTCATGATGACCTTTTAGACTAAGGGACGCGTTATACGCCGTTGCACACCGACGTGGTGCGACCTGAACGAACTGCGAACGAGATGGACGTATTGAAGACTGTTTATGAACGAAGTAGCTAATTATTTTAGACATATTTCCCGACCACAGCCAGATTGAGCCCGTTTTACGACATTTTCGTAGGACTGGCAAGAACGGGTAAGAACTAGTTTGGTGTGATAGGGGGGTAACTTAGTAAAATACCGCTTAGTGCAATAACAAACTACGTATAAGGTATAGGTAAATACCTTATATGGGCAATTTACGCTAATCTTAAACTCACTAATATATAGTATATTGTTTTAGCTCTTTTACGGTATTATAAAATACTCAATTGGCTGTTTTGAGATACGGATCATCTAGTCTTGCATTACTCAAGAATTATGAATTACTGCATACACTTTCTTTGCTTGAATTTCTTTCGTTTTATATTAAACATAAAAATGCTTAGTATTACTAATATTCTAATTTTAAAGGATTCCGACTCCGAGAGTTCTAATCCAGAAAGTACAGACAGTGAAGAATATTTTGATAAAGAAAACATTCACATACATACATCTACAAAGGAGTTCTCTGAGAAATGGTCTAAACATAAAAATGTAAGTATGGTATTCAAATGCATGGGCAAAATGCAACGGCGATCACCTGATTAGTGTTAAGCATGATCAATATTATTATGACTTTGGCAACCAGTATCAAAATCTATTTATCAGTATTTATTTAGTACACTTATTAATCATTTAGTATACACTACTAGTAAGTATAGGATAATAAGAACATTCTATGACTTTTTCAGAATATCATTTTAATCTATTCGGTGATACGGGGTGTTCCAAAAGTAACAGGACTGGTGCTGGCATTTTGTCAATTCTGTACCAAGTGTTTTCAAATGTTCACAAATTGTACTTTGAAGTATCGCGACTAATATTCCAAAGTTTCAGAAAAAATGATAAGATGCGGATAGAGTTATGGTTACTATAGTAACATGACATCACAATACCCGGGGCAACTATTCCATGAAAATGTGATATCTAACATTTTTGATTTTCTGAAGAAAGTAGCTAATTCACCTATTACAGTACAACATTTTTTGTTTGTCTTATTAGTTGCTTTGTTGTAATGGTCTTGCAATACAACTCAGATTCAAGTATGATTTCATAATAATAATATTTACTTAATTTCCTGGAATATCACTATGTATAACAGTCTGCTTTTTTGAAAATACTCAATTTGTGGCCAGTAATCCGTATTGAAACCCGCCTGTCCGCAAGTCAGCATTAAAGACCACTTCAGCTATAAAGGAGCTAGATCTTGAGGTCTGAGACTATGCACCATTCTCTTCTGATCATGCAATATCTAATTTTTACTTATATGGAGAATGGATTTGCTAATCAGTGCGGTAAGACCTTTATAAATGAGAATGCGACCTTCTCCAAGTGAGAATGACCTTCTCCAAGTTCTTCACTCATGTGTTTGAGTCATGAATACAGAGTGCTACTCTTGCACTGACCAAAGAGGAGCCTACCTTTCAAAGTAGAGGATACATAGGAATATCAAAAGATGTGTAGCAAATGTAATTACCTCCAGTTGTTGCATTTCAACTTTGATATGGGATGGACAAAATGCTTAAAGTCTGTGAAACTTTCTGCGTGGAATGTTGCCCCGGGTATTGTGATGTCATGTTACCATAGCAACCATAACTCTACCTGAGTTTCATAATTTTTGTCGAAACTTTGCGCAATACATGAAAGTACATTATGTAAAATTTTGAAGACAATTGGTGCATATTTAACAAAATACCAGCACCAGTCCTGTTACTTTTGGAACACCCTGTATAACTAGGATATCCTGATTTTGAGGAATATCATTTTTATCTACGAGGTGATATTGATCTGCACAAGAGAGAGAAGCGAACGAGTGCATATATCAATATCACAGAGTAGATTAAAATGATATTCTGAAAAAAGGATGTTCTTCTTATTCTACACTAACTTGTAGAGCACTAAATGTATAATATCATTGAAAAATAATTTTTAAGTCAAATAGTTCAATATGGGGGGAAATCAACAAGCCGAGAATATCGTCACAATATCCTCCGCATATTAATTTTTCGGAGTATATCGTCACGATATCCTCCGCATATTGGTTTTCCGGAGTATATCGTGGCGGTATCCACCGGCTTCGCTCTTTCGTGCAGATATCAAAATCACCTCGTAGATAAAAATGATATTCCTCAAAATCATAGGATATCCTATAAATATCACTTAAAATGTAGCAGAAAATAGTGGCATAATATTGTCAGAAAATAGAAAAATTGTTTCCAGGCCTATACGAATGCCTCAATGCCCAGAGGGCGCTGTTTAATCATCAACAACTTCGCCTTTAGACCGAAAATGTCAAACCGTGATGGCACAGAGCA